TGAAACAAAGAAGATAAGCAAGACAAGATAAAAAGAGCAAAGATGAATAATGGAATATATAGAAAACAATAGCAATGTGGCAAATTTAAACACAAATGTAAAAAAGGTCACATTAAATGTGAATGGTCTAAACACACCAAATAGATTGTTAAATTGGATAAATATTCTAGGCTGTCTACATAAACATTCTATGTGTCTGTAAAGCTACAGGTAAGTAAAAAGTCTAAGAATGGGAAAAAATATATTATGGGGCTACAAATCAAAGGAATGCTGGAGTGGCTATAATAATATCAGGCAAAGGAGATTTTAGAATGCAAAATATTAAGAGGGATTAGTAATATTACATAATGATGAAAAGGTCAGTCTTTCAAGAAGATGTAATAATCCTGAATGCTGTCTCCCTACAAACAGAACTTCAAAATGTATGAGGCAAAAAACAATAGAACTAAAAGAAGAAATAAACAAGTCACAATTATAGTCAGATTTCAACATCTCTCTTTCAATAATTAATGGGATAAGTAGACAGAAAGTCAATAAAGACTTTGAACACGTGGAAAATTCTATCAACCAATTTGACCTAATTGTCATTATAGAACACTTCAGTCACCACACAGATTACATTTTCTTTTCAAGTGTATACAGAACATTGACCAAGATACTAAATTTTGTGCCATAAAACAAGCAACAAAATGCAAAAAGACTGAAATAATATGAAGTCTGTTCTTTAATCACTATGGAAATAAATTAGAAATCAATTATGAAATTATCTGGAAAATCCTCAAATACTTGGAAACTAAATGTGTATGTAAACATTCTTCTAAGTCAAGAAAATTAAAAGGGAATTAAACAGGTATTTGAGCTGAGTTAAAATCATAGCATGCCAAACTTGTGGGAAGAAGCTAGGGTGAAATGTTTTCAGATTTAAACATGTATATAAAAAAAGTTTATGAATAGGAGTGAAACACTCTGATATATTACTGGAAAATTTTATGAACAGCCCTGAAACATTGTCCAACATAGTGCCAGAAGGTGAGCCCATCAGGTCAGAAGGCACTAAAAATTTGGGGAAGAGCTAAATTCTCAGAGTAGAGGAGACCTTAATGATATGGATAGAGTAAATCTTTGGGGACCTCCATTGGCTGATGTGGCATGACTCAAAATAAGCAGAAACAGATGCAAACATCCATTAATAATTGGAACATGGAATTACAAAGTATGAATCTAGGAATACTAGAAGTTGTCAGAAATGAAATGGAACGCATAAAAATCAATATCCTAGGCATTAATGTTGTTGTATGTGCCGTCGAGTCATACCTGACTCATAGTCGTCTGGTTAGCAGGCAAGTGTCTTAGCCACTATGCTACCAGAGCTAACCAGAAGGCTGGCGGTTCAAACCCACCAGCCACTCCTCGGAAGGAAGGTTGGGCAATCCTACTTCCGTAGTGATACTGCCTCGGAAACCCAAGGAGGGGTCGCTATGAGTCGGGGCCGACTCAACGGCACATAACAACAACAACAACAACAACAACAGGCATTAATGAGCTGAAATGGACTGGTTTTGGCCATTTTGAACCAGACAACCATATGGTCTACTATGCCAGGAATGACAAATGGAAGTGGAATGGTGTGGCATTCATTGTCACAAAGAATGTTTCAAGATCTGTCCTGAAGTACAACACTGTCAGGGATAGGATAATATCCATACACCTACAAGGAAGACCAGTTAATACTATTATCCAAATTTATGCATCAACCACTACAGCCAAAGTTGAGGATATTGAAGATTTCTACCAACTTTTCTGCAGTCTGAAATTGACTGAACATGCAATAAAGATGTGTTGATTATCACTAATGACTGGAATGCAAAAGTTGGAAACAAAGAAGAATCACTGGTAGTTGGGAAAACATGGCCTTGGTGATAGAAATAACACTGGAGATGACATGATAGAAATTTGCAAGACCAATGACTTATTCATTGCAAATACCTTTTTTTCAACAACATAAGCAATGACTATACACGTGGACTTCACCAGATGGAATACACAGGAATCAGATTGACTACATCAGTGGCAAGAGGTGATGGAAAAGCTGAATATCTTCAGCCAAAACAAGGCCAGGAGCTGATTGTGGAACAGACCATCAACTGCTCATGTGCATGTTCAAGTTGAAGATGAAGGCAATTAAAACAAGTTCACAAGAGCCAAAATATGACTTTGATTACATCCCTCCTGAATTCAGAGACCATCTAAAGAATAGATTTGACACATTGAACACCAGTGACCGAAAACCAGAAGAACTGTGGAATGACATCAAGAAGATCATCCATGAAGAAAACAAGAGGTCATTAAAAAGACAAGCATGGAGGAAAAGACCAAAATGGATGTCAGAAGAGACTCTGAAACTTGCTCTTGAATGGAGAGTAGCTAAAGCAAATGGAAAAATGACAAGATAAAAGAGTTGAACAGAAGATTTCAATGAGCAGCTCGAGCAGATAAAGCCAATTACTTTAATGAAATGTGCAATGACCTGGAGTTAGAAAACCAAAAGTGAAGAACTCACTCAGCTTCTCAAGCTGAAAGAACTGAGGAAAAAAATTCAAGCCCCGAGTTGCGATATTGAAAGATTCTATGGGCAAAATATTGAATGATGCGGGAAGCATCAAAAGAAGATGGAATACACAGAGTCACTGTACCAAAAAGAATTGGTCGATGTTCATCCACTTCAGGAGGTGGCATATGATCAAAAAACAATGGTATTGAAGGAAGAGGTAGAAGATGCACTGAAGGAATTGGAGAAGAACAAGGCTCCAGGAATTGGTGGAATACCCATTGAGATGTTTCAACAAATTGATGCCCCACTGGAGGCACTCACTTGGCTGTGCTAAGAGATTTGGAAGACAGCTACCTGACCAACTGACTGGAAGATATTCATATTTGTACCCATTACAAAGAAAGGTGATTCCACAGAATGTGGAAATTATCAAACAATATCATTAATATCACATGCAAGTAAAATCTTACTGAAGATAATTTAAAAATGGTTGCAGTAGTACATTAACAGAGAACTGCCAGAAATGCAAGCTGGATTCAGAAGAGGACATGGAATGAGGGATATCATTGCTGATGTCAGATGGATCTTAGCTGAAAGCAAAGAATACCAGAAAGATGTTTACCTGTGTTTTATTGACTATACAAAAGCATTAGATTGTGAGAATCATAACAAATTGTGGATAATATTGAGAAGAATAAGAATTCCAGAACACCTGATTGTACTCATGAGGAATCTAATCAGGAGGCTGTCATTCAAACAGAATAAGGGGATACTGCATGATTCAAAATCAAGAAGAGAGTGTGCCAAGTTTGTATCCTTTCACCATACTTATTCAACTTGTAGCTGAGCAAATAATCCAAGAAGCTGGATTATATGAAGAAGAATGTGGCATCAGGATTGGTGGAAGACTCATTAACAACTTGCAATATGCAGATGGCACAGTTTTGCTTGCTGAAAATGAGAATGACTTGAAACACTTACTGATGAAGATTAAAGACTACAGTCTGCAGTATGGACTACACCTTAATATAAAGAAAACAAAAATCAGCTTCATGGTGGATGGAGAAAAGATTGAAGTTGTCAAGGACTTCATATTACTTGGCTTTACAATCAACACCAATGGAAGCAGCAGTCAAGACATCAAAGTATTGCATTGGGCAAATCTGCTGCAAAGGACCTCTTTCAAGTGATGAAGAGCAAAGATGTCTCATTGAAGACTAAGGTGCACCTAACCCAAACCTAAGGAGGGGTCACTATGAGTTGGGTCTGACTCAATGGCACATAACAACAACAACAATCCAAGCCATGGTATTTTCAGTTGCCCCTTATGCATGTGAGAGCTGGACATTGAATAAGGAAGACTGAAAAAGAGTTGATGCTTTTGAGTTCTGGCATTGGAGAAGAATGCTAAGAGTAGCATGGTCTGCTAAGAGGACTAACAAATCTATCCTGGAGGAAGTGAGCCAGAATGCTCATTGGAAGCAAGAATGGCCAGACTTTGTCTCACCTACTTTGGTCATGTTGTCAAAAGGAATCATTCCCTGGAGAAGGATATCATCCTTGGTAAAGTAGAGGGTCAATGAAGAAGGGGAAGGCCCTCAATGGGATGGATAGACATAGTGGCTGCAGTGATGGGCTCAGGTATAGCCAGGATCATGAGGCTGTCACAGGACTGGGCAGTGTTTCATTCTGCTGTGCATAGGGTCGCTATGAGTCAGAGATGACTCCATAGCACCTAACAACAACAACAACAACAAACAGAAAAGTTTAAAATGAAATATGTAAGTTTACATCTTGAAAAGCAAATTAAACCCAATGTAAAGAGAAAAAGTAGTAAACATCAGAGCAGAAATTAATGAAATGTAAAATACACAAACATTACAGAAGATCAGAGAAACCTGGTTCTTTAAGAAGATCAATAAAATTAGTAAATACTAGTCACTAGTCGGGAGCTCTGGTAGCATAGTGGCTAAATCACTTGACTGCTAACCAGAAGGCTGGCGGTTCAAACCCACCAGCCACTCCTCGGAAGGAAGGTTGGGCAATCCTACTTCCGTAGTGATACTGCCTCGGAAACCCAAGGAGGGGTCGCTATGAGTCGGGGCCGATTCGATGGCACATAACAACAACAACAACAAGTCACTAAGACTGATCAGCATTAAAAGAGAGAGAGAACATAAATCACCTGCATCAAGACTAAGAGAGGTGACATCACTGTTGATATTACACATTTTCAAAGGATAGTAGTAAATATTATGAACTCAATGGCAGAGGGTCTGGTTTTGGTTTTTGATGAACAACTTTACCCTGGTAAATATTTCAGGGCAGAGCTTCCATCTAGCTTGCCTGAGCTGATGGACAGGGTTCTGATAATTATACCGTTTGTTAAACTTAAATAATTTGTACTAGAAAGATGATTGCTACAACTTTTTTTTTTTTTTAATTTTAGGTACACATCAGTTTTTAAGACAGCTGTGAAAGATGATATTCAAAAAACTAAAACTGCAATGAAAACTATGGGACCAGCAAAAGTTGAAGTACCTTCTCCAAAGGATTTCCTAAAGAAACATTCAAAGGAGAAAACTCTACCACCCAGTAAGTTTTATCATTCTTTTTATAGAAATGTTAAGTAATTTAACTAAAATTATATTGTTAAATGTGCACACATGATAGCTGCTTTGCCTCAAATAAGTAGAATTTGGTTGGAGTGGTATTTATGGTTATGTGTCAACTTGGCTGGGCCTGGTTTTAAGTGCCTGGGTAGCAAGCTGGTGGTAGTTATTCCCCCTGATGAGACTGACAGTCAACTTCATGGTGGAATTTGCTGTGAGCAGCTGAGTAGCTGCTTTAAGGATGTGGTCCCCTATATAAGGAGAAGCTTTGGGAATGGTCTGTAGGTTTTGGCACATTTGAATCCTGCTTGTAGTTGAATCTTTATTCAGCAGCCTGCCATGTTGTCTGTGGATCTTGAGACTGTTAATGGACTTGAATCAATGGCCTGCCATGTGGTTTGGTAATATTGGGACTGTGCCTTTTCAATTTTGAGTGAGAAATGCTGAGTGTGTTTTTTCCCTTTGGTTTTCTAACTCCAGGTCTTTGCACATTTCATTATAGTAACTGGCTTTGTCTGCTCGATCTGCTCTTTGAGATCTTCTATTCAACTCTTTTGTCATTTTTCCATTTACTTTAGCTACTTTCCATTCAAGGGCAAGTTTCAGAGTCTCTTCTGACATCCATTTTGGTCTTTTCTTCCTTGCTTGTCTTTTTAATGACCTCTTGCTTTCGTCATGGATGATTTTCTTGATGTCCTCCCACAGTTGTTCTGGTTTTTGGTCACTGGTGTTCAATGCGTCAAATCTATTCTTTAGATGGTCTCTGAATTCAGGAGGGATGTAATCAAGGTCATATTTTGGCTCTTGTGGACTTGTCAGCCTCAGCAGCCATCAGCTGCCTGATTAAAGAAAGCCTCCAGCTTCAGTGGGCCAGGAGCAAGAGGCAGAGCTGAAGCCCAAGGTCAAGGGGCTTTCACCCAGCCCCCAGAGCCTGGCACTTTGAACTCAGACTTCTAGCCTTCGAAACTGTAAGAGAATAAACTCCAGTTTGTTAAAGCTATCCCATTTGTAGTAATGTCTGTTAGAGTGGCACGAGAGCTAACCCAAACAGGTGACTAGGAGAAAGGACTTTCAGACTTGCTTCTCCCATCTCTTTTGATAAAGTCCTCCCCTTTGTCATGGAATATAGGTTATGTGAGACATGAAATGTTGCCAGAGGGAGTATTTTTACTTTTATCAAAATGTATACCCTAGCTGGACTTGAAATGTTGCATTATTTCCTTGATGTAAGCAGATACAAAAAAGCCAACTTTTAAAAAAGAGACAAATACCTCTACTGATACTCATTATTAAGACATCAGGAAAGCCATAGCTAGGACGGGGGAAATCTGCTTCCATGAATACCTGCAAGAGATCCCCATTTCATCCACTCTTTATTTTCCTGACAGCCTTCTTTTCCTGATATTCATATGCTTTACTGATAAGGATTAACTACATAATTTTTGAGGCCCAGTGCCAATTGAAAATGTGAGGCTCCTTGATAAATTATTAAGCATTTCAGGATAGCAAAAGCAGAACACTAAATCAAATTGTGCATCCCTGCTACTCAGGTCACACACTCAGGAAATGGGCTCTGTCTACCACTCATTCATGACATCTCCTATATTATATCTAACTCATTTATAGTCCTAACTTAAGAGCCTAAATGGTTAATGATGGTTAAGTGCTAAGCTGCTGAGAAGGTTGGCAGTTCAAACTCACCTGGAGGCTCTATTGGAGAAAGACCTAGGGATCTGTCCTTGTAAAGATTACAGCCTAGAAAACTGTCATATGAGGTTTGCTGTGAGTTAAAAATAGACTTGACAGCCCCCAAAAAATTTTTTTAGAAATCTGGGAGAACGAGAGTCCACACTTATGCCAAAAGTGGGCCTGATAATTCCTTAACCAACTGGTGGTGGTGTTGTTGTTATGTGCCGTCGAGTCGGACCCGACTCATAGAGACCCCTCCTTGGGTTTCTGAGGCAGTATCACTATGGAAGTAGATTGCCCCATCTTCCTTCCGAACCAGCTGGTCGTAACTTGTATTTTTTAACTCTTGAGGTTTAGATTCAGAGAAGTCTTGCCCATCAATCAGAGATTATCTTTGGGGTTCAGAATTGTTCATAAAATTACTTGTAAATATAGACCCATGACTAGGGAATAAGATGGTAAGGTATGTGGTGTTGGAGGTGGGGCTTTCTCAGATAGCCAAGATGTAGTTCAAGATGCTTGCACCATCAAAAAGAAAGTCTGTTTGGTGGATATTTAATCACTCTTTGGTCTCATTTTATATCACATTCTCTACTTCTAAACTTACTTAAATAGGGAAGCTGACCATTTGTTGTTGAAATCTTTATAGGAAAGTATTTTCATAACAACCATTGAAAATGTATTAATAGCATATGATTTGAGGTGCTTATCCTTCTACCTTAGATTTTAATACTGTTCTTCTGTATTGCCTTTCAACATATTGATTATGCAGCACTTAATTTTTTTTTTTATGATTACTGGTTACCCTTGAATATTTGAATAGCGTGGTAAAACTGAAATAGATAAATGATAATGTATCTGAATATAGTAAAAAGTATGAGTAGCATTTTTATAGTTTTTGTATTACCAATGAAATGTTATGCTTAACAGAAAAAAAGTTTGATTGGAAGGAGCCCAGAAAGCCTCCCGTGCCACCGAGGAGTGAACATCCTGTCATGGGAATACAGAGTGGAAAAAATTTTATAAATACTAATGCAGCTGATGTCATTATGGGAGTGGCAAAAAAGCCTAAACCAGTTTATGTTGACAAAAGAACTGGAGACAAGCATGATCTTGAACCTTCAGGACTAGTTCCAAAGTTCATCAATAAAAAGGTAACCTGTGATATATTAATGACAAACCTAAGATTTAAATAGTTGAAATAAGGTGTTGATAATGATTGTCTATGTTGTCATGAATGCTGCTCTCACTGGACAGATTATCTAAATGGCTTGGTCACATTCCTCTGCAATCTATGTATGGTCCAAATCTAAGGTAATGAAATGGAGTGCACACTATATGGAGTGGACAATGTCAAATAGTTCAACAGATGAAAGGTATAATTATCCTTCTTAATTTAAGCTATTAATATCTTTAACAATTATAACATTCTCTGAAAATATTTTTGGTCAGGTAGAAATGTCACTAAAAGCACAATGACTACTGCAAATCTAGAAAGAATAACCTTTCAGAAGAGCCTCAGATTTAGTCATTAGATTGTAGTAACTTGGTAGCAAAATGAGAGAGATAAAGAGGAATACAACTTTGGAGCCATTCATCCTCATCAGTGTAGTTATAGATAACTCACGTTACTATTCTAACTTGAATATATCCATTTGTTTTTCATTTAGGGTAAAGCAGGCCTTAAGACTGTACAGTAATCTGGTCCTTTTGGACATTAAAGAAAATTAGGTCCTCATTTCTGTCTGAAAAGGATATTTTTCCAATAGACATGTGATTTCATTGAGGAAAATTATAGAGTTTGATGAGCTAAATGGTTTGAATATAGAGGATCTTTAAAAGCAAAACTTACCAAAGAAAACTATACAAATTCTATTTAATTTTGTATACTTACAGAGCTTAAAAATGCTTGAAAGACATGTGGTAAATATGAGTGTAAAATCCTAAATAATAAGTTATAGCAAGAAAGAAAGGAAGATGTAATGGGAAGAAGGAAGGAATGAAGGAGAGAGGGGAAAGAAAAAAGAAATTGCAATAGTAACGTATAAGGGGCTTGGATTGAGGTAGATGACCATCAACCATGATAGATCCAATCCCTGTTCAAAAGGAAGACAGGAAACCCAAGACTGAAATCACCCTGAAAGAATTTTAGCAGGGATTTAGGAGATGGCAGCACATGCTGATAAAGTTACCTGATGCTTCTCTAGAGAATACTCCCTCCTTCTGTAGCCCCTAAAGGCTGTGCATAGTCCTTTTCTCATAGGCGGGGAAAAGAAGATGTTGTACTCTTCTGGACCTTTAAAGCATCTCCTAACCATTATTCCTACACTATCATCTATCTTTAGATTATTACCACTCACCACCCACCCCTTCTCCTGTGTGCCTACTGCATATCTTTCCACTTCAATACGTTTTCTGTCTTGAACAGAAAATTTGGGAATATCCATCTCAGATATAGAAAAATACGAGGCTAGTCTCAAAAGACACTTTTCTAGGTACCTATTATCTTCTTGGTGTTGCTAGCTAATCAATCAGGTCTCATGACATAATTATTCAATTTACTTTTCACTTATCTGAGTTAGGTTTTAAAAATCTATTATTGGTAAGTGAGATAGCAAATCCTTTTAAGAACAATGCTATTTAAAAAAAAACCTTAAATTTAATATATTTCAATTTAATTTTTAAAATTTAATATTTTTTTTAGTGAACCTCTCACTTTTGTTCCAAATCAAATGTTATATGCTGATTTATGCTATGAGGGGCAATTTTTAAAAACAAAGTAAAGCATGATGATCGCATGAGGTTTAGCAATAGTAATAAGACATCAAATCCTAACTCTGTGGCTTCTAGCTCTGTGATCTGTAATAGGTCATTGGCTTTATCACAGGGTTGTAGTGAGGATTAAGTGATGTAAAATATATTGAGCACTTGACACAATACATGGCACCTAAAAAAGTTCATAAAGGGAGGATATTGCCCTAGTGGCCCAGTTCTCAAAGCATTCAGCTACTAACTGAAATGTTTGTGGTTCAAAACCCACCATACACTCCACAGGAGAAAGATGTGGCAGTCTGCATTGGTAAAGACTTACAGCTTTGGGAACTCAATGGGGCAGTTCTACTCTGTCCTACAGGGTTGCTATGAGTTGGAATCCACTTGATCACAGTGAGTTTTTGGTTTATTATAATATATTCAATTGTTAGTATTACAAGTATACATGAGTCCTCAGTGATCCAACACATAAGAATATTTCAGATTACTGAAGCTTTTACCCATTTGCAATACCAGTTTTTTACCTAAATGTATTACACAATTCCCTTTCTTAGAGTATGCCAAATATAATTTAATCTTCTATTGATGACTCAGAATCATCATTATGCACATGTTATTGTAATGAACTGTAATGAGATGATGCCCTTGGTGGTTACTGAAGTGCACTGGACTGTTAACCACTGTACTAACCAGAATACTATGCTTTATAGTTTACTTGTATAGTGCCTTGCAATTTTCCAGAACACATTTATGTCTAGGATCTCTATCCCTTGTTTCCATCAGGATGAGCTAGAATACTCTGTGGTAACCAATAACCTCAATATTTCAGAACTTAAAGCAACAAATTTTATTGTTTGTTTGTGTTGTATGTCTATTGATAGGTATTAGAGGCTATGCTTCCTGTCATCCTTACTTCAGGACCATGGCAACCCAAAAATGTTGCCAATCGCTATACTCACTGTCTTCCAGTCGGATCCGACTTATAGTGACCCCTCCTTGGGTTTCCGAGGCGGTATTACTATGGAAGTAGATTGCCCAACCTTCCTTCCGAGGAGTGCTGGTGGGTTTGAACTGCCAGCCCTTGGGTTAGCAGTCAAGTGCTTTAGGCACTATGCTGCCAGAGCTCCTGCCAATCACTATAGTGGAGAGAAAGAGAACATGGCCAATTATACTCTAATTCTTAAAGCTTCTACCCAGAAGTGACAGAGGTCACCTCCACTCCTGTTGGTGCATCTTACTTCAAGGGGAGCAGGAAAGTATTGTTCTATCATGTTTCTAGAAGGAGAAGAATCAGAATATTTTGGTGCAGTTTTCATGACTACCATATCTCTCAATTGCCACCTTCTTAGGGGGGCCTTCCTTGACCTATATACTGCTCTAAAATGGTGCCTAGCTTTCTCTCTTTCTTACCGTCCTTTGTTTTGTTTCAGAGCACTTATTATTTGTGTTGTTTTATAGTTATTATTTTGGTGAGTCTGTCTCTCCATAGAAGGCCAACTCCATTAGGACAAAATTTTGCCTTTCTTACTCATTATTATACCTGGCACCAACTACAATCTCAAATAATTTTTTGAAGAATGGACAATGAGTAGTTCCATTTCTTTAGACAGTAATGTTGTTGTTATGTGCCGTCGAGTCAGACTCGACTCATAGTGACCCCTCCTGGGGTTTCTGAGGCAGTATCGCTACGGAAGTAAATTGCTCCATCTTCCTTCCGAGGAGTGGCTGGTGGGTTTGAACCACCAGCCTTCTGGTTAGCATTCAAGTGCCTTAGGCACTATGCTACCAGAGCTCCCTTAGACAGTAATATCAACACATTTATTACTATGAAAGAATCAGTGCAGATTGTATTGCTATCGACTAAATCTTTATAGAAGCAAACTGCCTCATCTTTCTCCTGCGGAGCATATAGTGGGCACTGACCTTTTGCTTAGTAGCCAAATGTCTTACCCACTACACCACCAGAACTCTTTTGTAAGGCACCCAGGAGCCTAAAAAATGTACTTTGCATTTCTAAAAATGCAGGTTTCAAATCAACTTTCTCTTAAAGCTGATGTGCTTGGTTTTTTTGTTTTGTTTTGTTTTGTTTTTTTAAATCTTTTAAGGGTTTGTTTTTGTAAAGCCTTGAAAGCATTTGTTTTCTGTTATTTCACAAAACTAAGAGACCTTAGAAATTCAAGATAATTCAGTATTAAAGCCTAAGTTCCTAACGAAATAAAGAAAAGCCAACTATTAGGTGTAAAACAAAACCAATCTCAAACCCACTGCTATCAAGTCAGTTTCCAACTCATAGTGATCATCTAGGATCGAGTGGAACTTCCCCATTGGCTTCCAAGGCTGTAATATTTTTGGAAAGGAGCTCTGGTGGTACAGTGCCTAAGACATTTGACTGCGAATCAGAAGGTTGGTGGCTCAAACCCACTAGCCCCTCCACGGAAGGAAGATGGGGCAGACCTTTTGGTTAGCAACCAAGTGCTTAACCACTGTGCCACCAGGGCTTCTTTTCTAGGGATAAAGTAAGGGCCAATTCACCAGGAACAGGCACTGGAACACACTGAGAAAAGAATAAGGAAAACAAGCCACCCCAGTAATAACTCAGACTATTTATAGTCTGGAATCAACTAGTCCCTCAAACCAAAATAACCAAACTCACTGCTCATAAAGTCAATTCTGACTCAGAGCGACTCCCATTAGGTTTCTGAGGCTGTAAATCTTTATAGAAGTAGATTGCCCCATCTTCTGTCTGCAGAGCAGCTGGTAGGTTTGAACCACTGACCTTCTGGTTAGCAGCCAAATGCCTTATACACTGTGCCACCAGAGCTCCTTGCTTGATTATATCAATTTGCAGTGTTTCGAGCAAACGTATTAAATCTGTAAGGTTTATTTTTCTCACATTCATCAAGGAGTATATATATTTATTTAAGATTGAATTCAGGATATTAACTCCTTTCTTTTCTTAAAAATCTTTACAGGATTATGGTGTCACACCTGAATATATATGTAAGCGAAATGAGGAAATAAAGAAAGCCCAAGAAGAATATGATAACTATGTGCAGGAAAACCTTAGAAAGGCAGCCATGAAAAGGCTATCTGATGAAGAAAGGGAGGCAGTTCTACAGGTGCACGTTCTATAATTTATATTCATCTGTAACTCTTTGAAACATCTCTGAGGGGTATACCACTTTTCCGCTCCCCTTGATTATTAAAGCTAGCATTTTGATCTTGAAATCAGAAAAATCTCCTTTGATTATGGTGACAACTACTGACAGCAAATCTGACTCTTTAGGGAGAGGAAAAAGTTATTTTGAGGGATTTATTGAACATCATTTTATCTCCAATTCGGTGAGATTCTGTTATTTCCTGAAGTGTTGCGAGGAAGCCCACATCGCCTGCAACAATTATGCATATGTAGGGCAAAATAGCATTTTTATTTTCATTCTTCTGTCCTAATATTTTTCAAAAAATCCATAAATTGGTTATTTTTCACTAGATGGAGCTCTAGAATAATTGAAATGTCCCTAGACCAACATTTTCTTTCATTTTTTTGTATATATATACACTATTTGGTTTTGATAATGCAAATGTCCAAATTTTAAAGTAACTAGGTTTTATGTTTCTTGTATATTTTCCTTCTTTTAAATAAATATAAATATATTTAAAAAGATACTTATATTTGTGCTTTTAAAGCTAGATTTTTATCTGAAGCATTTAAAATAGCAGAGGATGTGAGCAGAGTTACTGCTCCATCATCATGTTTAGAGAGTATTTATCAAGCACATACACTATTCCATAGTTATATAGAGCTATCTCTTATAGAGGTAAAAATAGTACTTTACCTTTTGTTTTGGTATTTTAAAAGCTTTCTACAAAGCCATTTCTAATCTTTTCAAAACAGAAAACTCTTTTTACCCTATTAATTTCTGTTAAAAAATATATTCATATGCTGTTATAAATTCTTAACACTTTATCAGTGTCATCATAATCATCAATAAACATCTATTAAATGCATAGAGTATTAGGCTCAACCCTAAGGATATTTAAGAAGGCTCGAGATACAACTTCTGCTATAGAGCACATTGTAATTTAGTTGATGAGAAGTGATCTGTATACATTGTTGTTGTTGTGTGCCGTCAAGACTATTCTGACTCATAGAGACCCATGTGATGGAGCAGAACTGCCCTATAAGTTTTGTAGGCTATAATCCTTATGGGGGCAGATCCTTAGATCTTTCCCCTCAGAGCCACTGGGTAGGTTCAAAATGCCAACCTCTAGGTTAGCAGATGAGCACTTAAATGTTGTACCACCTGGGCTCCTTTATATATGTACATATGTATATGTAAATGTGTATATTTGTGTGTGTGTACAAGTTTTATAAGCGTTCCAAGGTGGCATGAATCACCATTGAAGAATAGAGATCTTTAGCTAGGCATTAAAGGACCAAGTAGGAGGGGATCCCATACAGCAGTAGTGGCCTAAGGATAGAAACTGTCTCTTTGTTGACACCTGTATCCCTGGTACCTAATACAGTGCTAGAAAAAGAGGCAGATAGGCAGGAAGGCTGGCAGCCATGGAAGTAGGAATTTCATTGGCATTTTCAGGGAGCCCTAGCTGGCCAGTGAGGATGAAGCAGAGCATTCATAAAGGGAAGGTGACCCTTAACAGAGACTGGACATGTTAACACGACACTCTGAATGTAATACACAATTCCGCAGTGACTTAAAACTGAGAGATTGTGACTCATTCCATTTTAGCTAATTAACTCAATGCTCTAATTCATTCTCATTCATATTCATTCTCTCTCCCCACTCCCTTCCCTCCTGCTTTCTCCTTTCTTTGGATTCTACCATTTTCAGAAAGTATATGATTTTGTGAAAGCTAGGTTTTTATATCTGAATGATGTTGAAGAATAGGGAAAGAAGGAAGGACTTCTTTCAGAAGAAAATGCTCCTCCCTCATTTACCTATTTGACTGTAGTTGATAATCAACCCTGGGCTTCCTAATGCGCTCTATAGGGTTTCATTGCATAGCCTTTGATGCAGCCATAGCACATCCTCCATTGGATGTCTTATTGGCTGGGGAGTATGGTTGCCATAGCAACAAAGCCACTAGCTATACTCATGACAAGTCCTGAACCATGCTTCCCTCCCTGATGATGAGTTGCAGTTCTGTGGCAACACAGTTGTATGCCCCCAAGCTGGGCACATTCTGTTCATTCTTCATAAAATACCCCATTATACCTGGAAGGCATCATCTGGCCTAATGATTCTAAACCCCTTATTTACAGATAAGGATATAAAATGCAGAGATGTTAAGTGGGCTCATTTGTTCATTCCCTCAATTCATTCATTTATTGCACATCCAGTATATTCCAGACACTGTGCTCAGCCTAGGGGATAATGTAGCAAGCAAATATATATATGTATATAGTGCTTATTGTCAGTGAACTTAGAGTTTGATTTAAATTTGCTCATGCTCACAAAATTATCAAGCATCTGAATAGGAACTACAACTCACACCTACAAATTCCCAGTCCAGTGTTTTTCCCACTATGTAATACACACCTGGAGGTAACAGAGGGAAGCTGTACCTGGCAGGCTGTAGCAGGAAAGAGAAGGCACACTCAGCTGGGATTTTGAAGAGAGTTTAATGAAGGAACTCTTTAAGAAGTGAAGCAGCATTAAGGAAACCAACAGGGAACACTGAGGCACCCACGGACTAAGGACGATGGGAATCCCTACCACCCTTAGCTTGAAGGGCAGGGGGATAATAACAGTGTTACCAGAGCTTGGGGAGAACTAGAACCTGGAAAAACCCAAACCATTGAGTTGATCCCAACTCAAAACAACCCCCATAGGGTTTCCTAGGCTGTAAATCTTTACAGAAATAGATTGCCTCATCTTTCCTCCCACAGAACCTCTGGTGGATTTGAACCGCTATTCTTCTGGTCGGCAGCCAAATGCCTCACCCACTGTACCACCAGAGCTCCTGGGATCCTGGAAAAGGGACTAATTAAATAAATTCCCTAATTCACTAGAGGGTAGTACTGGTCTTGGCCCATTCATTCTCACTCTTGTTAATTCAGTTTCTTCCCCTCTCCCTACTCCACATTCTGACAGATCTTATAGTCACAGAGGGATACAGCCAGAACTAGAGTCCAGAAAGGGTCAAGGGAAAGGGAGAAGAAACACCCCAACCTCTGTCTCCTCCCATGAGTATCTCCATTGACTGAACTCAGGCAGAGGACAAAGGAGCCAGAGTGGTGCAGCACACAAGGATCAACCCCCAGGCCCCACCCTAACCCATTGCCATTGAGTTGACTCAAACTCACAGTGACCCCTAGGGTTTCCAAAGCGGTAAATCTTTATGGAAGCAGACAGCACCATCTTTCTTCAGTGGAGTGGTTAGTGGGTTTGAACTGCCACCCTTTTGATTAGCAACACATTGGCTTAACCACACAGTGCCACCAGAGCTCCTTACCCTAAGGCACAGAGCAGGACAAGAAGGGAGAGGTTGGACGGAGGGTACAAAAGGAACATGGAACTCAAAACATCTGTTTATGTTATGACCATTTCTCCCTATTTGAAAAAATTCCAAAATGAATAATATCATTTCAGCATCAAAACAGAAGGAAAAAATATTATGAAATAGAAATAAGGGAAAATTGCTATTGCTTGCAATGGATAAAAGATTTTCAGATGAAATAAAGGAAAAAGAAAAGTCTCAAAAACCTCAAGGTGGTTATTTCAATATAATATGGAATGTTAGTTACATTTAGTTTTCATTCCCTAGCTGTTAACTTTGATCCAAACATTATTACACACACTGGAAGATAAAAGTAAACTTGTCCCTCAAAAGAGAATACAGAGAAAAAATGTAGCTTCTGTGACCACAAGTGATATGGAAATAGCGCCCAACTAGCTATGAACAACCTTTGATATTTGAAAGTGTATAAATACATAGAGTTCCTCTATGCAATAGGCTTCCCTGTGGAGCACTGCAGAAGCGTATTTCACATTTTACAAAAAGACAGACTGTGGAAAATAGAATTCTTTTGAGCACTTCTTTTGGAATACATCTCATACACTTTGAAGAACATGTTACACAATTTTGCTAACCAGACCCCTCATCTTTCTCTCCCCCCGCCTTTTTTTTTTAACTTGAATGTCTTTTCCATCTACCTTTTCCTTTCCCAAATCCTTGATAAACTATCACTCAATGTGAAATCAAAATGTTTCGTCCTTTTCTCCAGCAACCTATTCTTACCGTATGCTCTCTTCTATGATCATTTTTACCTAAGTGGATTGAGATCATATTGCCTTTGAAAAGTTTATACAAGATTAAATTTGTACTGTGAGGACTTATTTGAAGGCATTATTATGTAAGACACTTTTAATTCCCTCTTAAATGTATGACCATCACTTTCAAGATCCATGTTTTCAAAGCAGTATTTTAAATTGTACTTGCATGTTTGCTTCCTGTTTTTGTGTAAATAAAATGAAGTGTGCACCCTTGGTGAATTATAAAAAGTACTAATATATAAAGTTTCATTGTATAAGTTCAATTAGTAATTTCAGACTATTGTGGCAATAGGGCCCCAAGTTTACTGTGTTAAGAAATGGTAACTATGCAGAGATGGAAATGCCCTTATTGCTTCTAAGAGATGCCTAATTTTGAATGTGTTGATTTCCAATAATGTAAGACATTAATTAGACTATTGGATTAGCATATACATTATATTTAATGGCATTCAGTCATTTCTAGCATACATTAATAAGAAGTATGGATCCCTCAACTATATGGAGGAAGAGTTCTTTATAATACATTGAAATGATAAAGATCATAACTTGCAACACTGAATTTTAGAATTTTTGTATAGCTCCATCATAGGTATAAGAAAATAAGGACATACAAGTCAAAATCACTTTTTTAATATGGTAACAGATTTCTCTGTTGAAGATTGAAGATCATGATTTAAAAAGAAAATTCTAAAGAAAACAAGTAGAATTTTTATAAGAATGTGTTTTCTGTTCAAAAATGTTTTCACTTGGGGATTTCAGTTCTAACTTGCTTTTTAACCAAAGCATTTGCTGTGAGCTGAATTTCATACTACTCATAACTCTGCAAATGTGTATTTGATGGTAAAAACAAGTATAGTAACATTACAAACAGAGCAAATAAATACTCCCAGTGGGAACTGAGCACACAATCAAGGGCTGAGTTTGGCCTCCGCACAGGAGTTTTTGTAGTTGTGGCCAAGCTCTTGATAAATACGTTATCATTTGTAAAAGTTATTTTTGTCAGTTTTCTTTACCTATTTAAGTTTTTCTTTTCCAGTACAGTTTTCTTTACCATTTACATCTTACTTTACTTTTGCAGTTGACTTTAGTATTTAGTTTTCTTTATTATTTACAGGGGTTGAAAAAGAACTGGGAAGAGGTTCATAAAGAGTTCCAATCCCTCTCGGTATTCATAGATTCCATACCAAAGAAGATTCGCAAGCAGAAGTTGGAAGAAGAAATGAAACAACTAGAACATGACATTGGTGTAATTGAAAAGCATAAAATTATTTATATTGCCAATAAGTAATAACAGATTGTTAAAGTATAATTTTAATGTAGGAAACAACATCGAAAACATAAAAGTGGAACAGAAGTTTTTTAAAGAGGAAAATTCTATGAAGAGAGTGAAAATAGTCTTAAAATAATAAAAATGCTTAGGTAATATTTAAAAGATAATGTGATTATTCACTTATTTAAGAGAAAAACTTTTTGTACTATTATCAGGTTTTACAAGTATAAACCAATTAAAGTTTGGTGTACTGTATTCCAGTTCCATAGTGTAATATATTATCGTTATAGACTTGCTTCACATAAACATTAATTTCTGGGCCCTGAAGTCAGCATTAAGAGCTTCAAAATTTCTCTCCAGTGCATAATACAAGGATCACAATATTAACAACTGTTAAATGTTTTGATTTGGAAATGCCTTCTTACTCTCTAGAGTGTTTTCTCCATATCGATTCAGAGCCCCACATATTTAACAACAAATACTCTTCATAGCCTGTGTTATCTGTGGCTATTCCCAACTATAAATATTATCAACATTCATATTACTATCTATGCTGAAAGGCTTATATTTGAAGGAAGAAAACTTAAAACGACAACTTAAAAACACAGTATTGAAGATGATTAAACAAACTGAATAGCCTTCTCCCTGATGTACCATTTAAAAAAAAAAAAAAAACTTTGCTATCTATGAGGTTTATTTCATGATTCACTGTATGTATTTTGTTTAAATGGAATGTGAGGTTTTTTTTTTTTTTGTCGTTTCTATTTATTTTGTAATTCTAGTTTCTATTTGTAAGATTACATAATTTATTAAGCAATCAGTTTACAGAAGTAGAACTGTCTTCTCTGAACAAGAAGCAAACATCTATATCTAAGAGGGAAAAGACTCTTATGAAATTTTAAATTAGAGAAATTCAGAAAAAATGTCAGAGCTATAATAATTTCTATGCTTACATTGATATTTCCACTGTAGACAACACAGAATCAAATGGCAGTCTTTCTCAAGCTTTTTCTTAATTACACACAGAATTTGGGTGCATTGTAGAAAAATCTGCTTTAGTTAAAGAAAAAATGCTTATGTAGAAATATTTTTGAAAACTCATATTAAACTTTTTTCTTAACCTCTTTATGAGCATCATTATTTATTACCTGTATTACTTTAGGGAAGATAATCAAATAAAGGATATGATATAGCCTCACTTATCCAGAATGGTTGGTTGCTTTTTAGGGTAGGTGTGGTAGTTCAGTTGTGTGTCAACTTGGCTGGGCCTGGTTGAGTGGTTGGGCAGCTGGTGGTAGTTATTCCCCATGATGAGACTGGCAGTCAGCTCCATGATGGGATCTACCACAAGCAGCTGAGTAGCTGCCTTTGGGATGTGGTCTGCTTCCCACATATAAGGAGAAGCCTTGGGAATGGTTTCTAGCTTATGGCACTCTTGGACCCTGCATGTAGTGGTGTTGTTGTTCAGCAGCCTGCCATGCTCTGCCGACCTTGGGACTTACAATGGACTGCCATGTGGTTTGGTAACATCAGGACTGTGCCTTTTTACTTGTCAACCTTGGGCTTGGCAGCCTCAGCAGCCAGCAGCTGTCTGAGTGAAGAAAAGCCTCGAGCTTCAGTGGGCCAGGAGCTAGAGGCAGAGCTGAAGCCCAACGCTGAGGGCTTTCATCCAGTCCCTAGAGCCTGGCACTTTGAACTTGGACTTAAAGCCTCCAAACTGTAAGAGAATAAACTCCTGTTTGTTAAGGCCATCCCATTTGTGGTATATATTTTTGTCAGAGCAGCATTAGGTAACTAAAACAGAATATGGTACCGAGGGAGTAAGTTGATGCTCTGACAGATACCTAAAATGTGGAAACCGGTGGAGTGTGTCCTTGACCTGAGACCCTGGCAGAGAGACACCAGCATATGGCATGAGAGGCAGCAGGAGCACAGCCAAGAGACCAGCATGAGAGATGGCAGTAGCAGAGCCCAGAGACTGGCATTAAACAGCAACAGGCTTACCAGCCCATGAAGGAGAAAGCCGGGTACCATTGAGTAGACGGCTTTCTGGAGGAATGGGTTGCCTTTGGGCGTTAATAGGTAGAGAAGACTGGCATGAAATGGAGTAGCAGGTTGGCTGGCCCATGGGGCAAGAAAGCTGAGTGTTTTTAGGGCAGGAAGATTTCCTGCAGAGTGGGTTGCCTACGGCATTAATCGGCAGAAGCGGAGACTAAGGAAATGGAAGCAGAGCTGCCTCAGCCTGAAAGGGTAGGACCATGGCCTTTGGGGGTGGAATGACCACAGCCCCCTAAGTTTCAAAGAGCCAGGCCTTCATTAACTTGGTTCTGGAGTGTGGGGTTGCTCGTTCATGTGATCCAGTGGGATCGAGCCACAGCTGTTGCCCAAGAATGAGGGGGTGGGGCTGCCATGCCCAAGAGGGAGAGGAATGGAGCTGCCAGGGCAAGGGGGTGAGGTCACCACTTAGAAGAACTAGGGGACTGGAGACACCCAGTGAGGAGATCTGCACAGATGCCACCCACTGAAGATCTAAGGTGCCAAGTTGATAAGGGGTGGAATTCTGGTAGTTCAGTTTGTGTGTCAGCTTGGCTGGGCCTGGTTGAGTGGCTGGGCAGCTGGTGGTAGTTAATCCCCATGATGACACTGGCAGTCAACTCCACGGTGGGATCCACCACAAGCAGCTGGGTAGCTGCCTTTGGGAAATAGTCTGCTTCCTGTATATAAGGAGAAGCCTTGGACCCTGCATGTAGCGGTGTTGTCGTTCAGCAGCCTGCCGTGCTCTGCCAACCTTGGGACTTAAAATGAACTTAAATTAATGTCCTGCCATGTGGTTTGGTAACATCTGGACTGTGCCATTTTGTTTGTCAACCTTGGGCTTCTCAGCCTCAGCAGCCAGCAGCTGTCTGAGTGAGAAAAAGCCTCTAGGTTCAGTGGGCCGGGAGCTGGAGGCAGAGCTGAAGCTCAAGGCTGAGGGGCTTTCATTCAGCCCCTAGAGCCTGGCACTTTGAACCTGGACTTAAAGCCTCCAAATTGTAAGAATAAACTCCTGTTTGTTAAGGCCATCCTATTTGTGGTATATGCCTGTCAGAGTGGCACTAGGTAAGTAACCAGAACAGTAGGCTAAGGCCTGTAATAAATCCTCAGTTTATAATTACCCAAATATAATAGAAACTCATTTCTAGCACACACACTATACTGTGCTGTGAACTGATCCCCAGGGCAGCCCTTTTCTATGTAGTCACATGGGGATCCAGGCTTACAAAGGGGGTAGACTTCATTTCATCCAGAGTTGGTTAGTTCTATGGTGTCACGTACAGGCCAGGCCAAGAAATGATACACATCATTGCCACCTTCATTCTTTAAGTAGTGTTAGTTGCTGCAGCTAAACCTGTTGGTCATCAAGTTGATTCTGACTCGTGGTGACCCCATGTCTTACAGAGTAGAGCTGTCCTCCTTGGCTGTAACCTTTGTGGAAGTAGATTACCAGGTCCACCTTTTCTGGTGCTTCTGGGTGGGTTTGACCTGCTAACCTTTAGGTTAGAAGTCAAACACAAATAGTTTCTTGATACAATAAAGATAAATGTCTCATTTCGCTGAGGGCTGGGGGTGTACACTGTTTCACACAGTCACACAGGGACCCAGTCTATTTTTGTCTGGTAGCTCTGCTGGTATAGTCAGCCTTGTCTGCCACATTTAAGAATAAGACTTTATGTTAATATTTCATTTGTAAGATGATTCCTATCCTTACTAATTTTTAAATAATTCAAAATCAGTAGCAACTTAAAAATATTCTGATTATTTCAGCCTTATGATTATTATGTTCAGGGTCATGAATAGGAGTTGCCTTAAATGTTAAAATGATGACTTTATGACATATAGTCAAAACTATAAAAGTCTACTGATGAATCCAGACTGTTCCTTGAAAACATACAGTATTGTATTAGAAATTGTATTTCCTTTCTCTCCCACAGCCTTCTTATAGAAACTTTCTCTTCCATAGTTCCTGGGAGGGCTAGCCCCACCATGGGATTCCAACCTTGAGTAGCTCCAGTGCAACATTTACACACACACACACACACACACACACGTCATCCTATCAGAGGAGGGAGAGACACCTGGCTCAGGTGGTTGACAAGTGACTGATTAGATTTTCTCTTCTGAGACTATAAATTAAGAGACACAGATTACAATCACTTAGGAGTAGACACTTGAGTCTAAAAGGTCACACTTTATTATTACAGCTAGTTTGACTTCTGTTCCTGTTCAAAAGAGTTCTGAGTAGAATAAAGACTCAGTATGATCTGGCCCTTGCCTATCGCTCTCTTCAGCTTTGTTTCTTGAATGCTGCCACCCTCCCCCTACCCACTATAACTGATATTCCCATACTACTGAGGTGCTAGAGGTATTCAACATCTGTACACACATTGTTTCCTCTGCCCAGAAAATTGTACCCTTCTCTGTATCTTTCTGCATATCTCCCCGGAAAATCTCAAATCTTTGAACATCAGCTCACGTCAACATTTCTGTGACATCCCTCTCTGACTCCACAGTCCCAGGCCTTCTGTTGTAGCATTCATCATATTGTTTTGTGAATGTCTGGCTATTTGCCTCATTTCCAAGAGTTCCCAAGAGACTGAAAGCTTATGGGGAGAGGGGATTGTGTATCTTTTTGTCTACATTCCTTAGAACTTACATAATAGCTGGTATATATATATATATATATATGTTTATTTATTTATAATATATGTTGTTGTTGTTGTTATGTGCCGTTGAGTCAGACCCGACTCATAGCGACCCCTCTTTGGGTTTCCTAGGCAGTATCACTACGGAAATAGATTGCCCCATTTTCCTTCCGAGGAGTGGCTGGTGGGTTTGAATCACCAGCCTTCTGGTTAGCAGTCAAGTGCCTTAGCCACTATGCTACCAGAGCTCCCATTATTATGAGGACATAAATCAGAGAGTAGAGATTTTCACTACTAAAGTAACTAGTTGATACCATACCAACCAGTTACTGAGCA